TGGGGGCATGACTTTGTTCGTTTATGTGTTCAAAGGGGCGTAAGTGCTGTAGAAATAGTAACAAGTAGTCATTGGAAGCTTGATTGCTCAGCTCAGAAGTTGAATTAACCACATCACTGCAAAATGACATCATTTGTGACATCAGTTGTCTGGTACAAATACATTCCTTCTAAAGGAGAGTCTGTCTCTCTCAGAAATACTTAATTGGAAGAAAATTTAAATGCCAACCTCACCCAGTTTTTCCTCAGATTTTTCTATACATTTCAAGCCTTATAGATACTGTACATTCAAAATCATAGGGATAATCCAAGCATGATTTAGTGGATCGGGCACTGGACCTGGAACGAAGGCTACCTAGGTTTTATTCCTGACTCTCACTGACTGGCTGTGTGACCTTGGGCTAGTCATTCCAGCTTTCTGTACCTTTGTTTTCCCTCCCACCTTTTATCTGTCTTGTCTGTTTAGACTGTAATCTCTTTGGGGCAGGGGCTGTCTCTTATTATGTCTCTGTATATACACTGACTAGCAGAATGGGACCTTGATCTCCCTGGGCCCTCTATGTTACTGCAGTACAAATAATAAGCATGGTAGGCAAAAAGAGAAACCTACAGCTTCCAAGGGGTGGGTTTGTGGGAAGGGCAGATGGCCTCCAGGTCTGACTTTCGGAAATGCTGAGTACTCCCATCTCCTGTTGTGATCATCATTCAGCACCTCTGAAAATTCAGCCCTAACACTGTGAGGCTCAACTTCTCAGGACTAACTTAAGAACCTCTCTACCTCCTCACCTTGGAAGGCTGCCAAGGCTCACTCAAAAGCCATAATTACAGTTTCCCTTTGACTCTCCAGATTTTCCTCATTCATAATGTGACTTTTGAGCACTTTGCGGGAATAAATCGAACGTGTTCCATTTAATGGGCACTTGATTTGTTTCAGACTTTAGGACCTGCACTCCTGAGACTTATCACTTGAGGTGGAGAAGCTGACTATTGCCGACCTAAGCCAGAAAAAAAGGTGTTTGCTGACTCAAGTGAAAACAAGAAGTCAAAGTGAAGGAAGGACGGCTTTGCGGTTAAGGCGCTGGACTGGATCTGGATTCAGTTGGCACTTCTGGCAAGTCACTATCTCTCTGTATCTCAGTTCCCTTTCTGTAAATGGGTGGTGATGATCCCTTTCTATTCCCTCCAATCCCGTGTCTGTTTAGCCATTAAGCTCCTCAGACAGGACTTACTATGTGCGTGTACAAAGACTACCACAATGGTGTTCTGATCTTGGCTGGGTCCTCAAGGCACTACTAGAATGCAAATAAATAATGCTAGAAGACAAGGTAGCCATGTCTTCATCTGTTTGCCCATCAAAGCTGTTGGGTGAATTTTCAGTTCAATTTGACTGGACTGAGTGATCGTTTTGCCAAACAAATAGAAGGTTTGATTTTAAAAGTTCCATGTAAGGCTGAGGTGGCAAACTCTAGAAGATAAACTAAAATGTTATGTAGCCTACCCTATCTATCCAACCCATGCTCCTCACTGGTAGAAACAGACTTGGTCTTTGAGGGAGATTGGGGCAGTGGGCCTCCTTAAGGCATTGATCAACAAACAGTCCTCAGTCTAGTGGCTGCAGCACTGGGAGTCAAAACAGGGAAGAACTGGGTTGAAGAAGGGGTGAAACAAATATAAAACTATATTTCTTTAAAAAAAAAAAATGCTTGACAGTCACCTTTAACTGTCCCCAGATACATGGTACAGACTGTCATTCTGGATGAAATACTCTGTCCTACACACAGACTTGATTTCCCCCCCCCTCCCCATTTATTGTTGCTATCATTGGCCTTTACCAAACCCTCCAGTTTAATGTAGTTTTTTTTTCTTTCTAATCTGTAAATGTACTGGCGTTTGCTGGTTCCTCTCAATGTCCTACAGTTGTGTTAAAAAGATAATAGTATTCCCATTGTTTTTTTTTCTATCTGGAGTTAGTCTGGTAGATGATCTATATAAATATCTCACATTTTATAGCCCCTTTTGAGCTCAAAGATCACAAAGCACTTTGCAAATTATATACTTAGAGCACCATGGAAATGCAGTCAGCAGTGGGGTTGAGGGTGGCAACCAACTAATTCAACAATGGTGTAGAGGGGAAAATGTCGGTTAAGAACACTGACGTGAATCTCTGCACTTACAAGAGATGCCAGGGGATCTTTGCTATCCATGCAGAGAAGAGCAAATCTTCCCTCTACGCTGCCTGGTACCCGGTTAATCTACCTTCTAAGCGTTGGGCTGAGTCCACGCTGCTGGAATTTAAACTTTCAGTCCCAGAGAGACTAGGTATTTCAGTCCTGATGTTTAGCCACAAGGGGCTAAGTTCCTATCTCCCCATTGCTGCCAGATCCAATTCACTTCTCCAAGTCTTCATGAAACTCCCCCATGCCATCATGAGGGTCTCATTGCCCCCACTTCTCATGAAGGCATCTTATTCTATTGCAAGAGAATGTTGCTACAAGTGTTGCCTTCCTCTGCCTCCTGTCAATGGTCTGAGCTGTGTTCCTTCCCTTTGTGCTTTTTCCTCTCCTGAGCAGTGTCAGCCTGATGGAGAAGAGGGAATTATGGACAGAATAGACCCATGTCTATTGACTGCATGTTCCTGATGACCCTTGGACTGGCTTTGACTAAGCCATCCTCACCTCCTTCCGTTCATTCAACAAAGGCAAGGTTCATCTATTTGCTCAAGCATTAGCTTAAAAGTTGGTTTAAAAGTAGCAAAGGGCTGTTTTCCAAAGGACAAGAGGTTGGTAACAAGTTGACTGGTTATTATTCCCGCCTAGTTGAGCTATTGTTTTTATTCCGTGTAAAGGGACACAGAGTCTGAAGACTTGTATTTATTTGTTTTGTTAAATATGAACCTCTCCTAATCGTTAGCTGCATGTACAAAGCACTGCAAGTGACAAAACAGACCTCTCAGAAATTCCCTTCAGCTCACAAATAAAACTCGAACCTGCAGTAGCCTCCTGGGAAACCCTCAGTGCATAGGTAAACCTACAGGGCCAGCTGCCGGAATAACACAGTCAGGCTTCGTCAGACTCTTGAAGGAAGTAGGCTACAGAACCCTGGGTGCAAAGCTCATCTATGTATCCAGGTCTTTGGGTGAAATGCTGAGGTGCTGAAGCCAACGGTAGTTAAGAATCAGGCTCTTTCTTTGAACTAGGTAATCTCAGAGCCCAGTGTCGCTTCCATGGATACAAAAGCTCCTTGGGTGTAGAGTCAGGCCCTCAGTTCTGTAGGTCGCCGTTTTTGAGCAGTGAGACTTTGACACTAATATATTCTGTGTTTTAAATTATTGATTTGTTGTTGTTTTTTTCCCCCCCATGGACGTAGATTTTTTTTTTCTGTAATAGGAGCATTGTATAAATCAAAATAAATAGCAGCGTGTATACCGGCGTCTATCCCTTTTTATTTAGAGACATTTCTACAATGCCTGTAATGTTGAGCTCTTCACAAATATTAGTGAATTTATCCTGACAACCCCTTTTCCCCTATTTAACAGGTGTGGATTCTGAGGCACAGAGAGGTTAAATGAGTGGCACAGGGTCATGCAGCCAGGCTGAGGCAAAGCCGAGACTACAGCCCAGCTGTCCTGATTCTGATTGGTTAAGGCACAGGACAGGTTGACTGCTCAGTTCATAACTCTGAGGTTCTACTGTATCTTATTAGGGTGACTAGATGTCCCAATTTTATAGGGACAGTCCCGATTTTTGGGTCTTTTTCTTATATAGGCTCCTATTACCCCTCACCCCCTGTCCCGATTTTTCACATTTGCTGTCTGGTCACCCTACTTATTACTGATTATACTCTATTATCTGCATTGTGGTAGCACAGAGGCAGGCCACTCATGCACCAGGACCCCACTGTGTCGTGTTAGGCATTGTACAAATGCAACAACAAAAAAGAAAGTCTGGGCCCCCAAAGAGTTTAATGGATTTGTCTCATCTGCTTTGCCTTCCCTCATTGTTTATCTTATTAGAGTGCTGACGGGGGCTCTGATGCAGGAGTGCCTTATGCCTGGTCTACACTACGACTTTAATTCGGATTTAGCTGCGTTAATCCGAATTAACCCTTCACCCGTCCACACTACAGAGCCAGTTAATTCGAATTAAAGGGCACTTAAAATCGATTTCTGTACTCCACCTCGACGAGCGGAGTAGCGCCAAAATCGATTTTGTTAATTCGAATTAGGGTTAGTGTGGCCGCACACCACCGAATTACTGTGGTTAAATTAATGGGGTAGTGTGGCCGCACACCACCGAATTAATGTGGTTAAAAACCGAATTAATGTGCTTAGTGTGGCCGCGCACAATCGAATTTATACAACCTGTTTCCCAAATTCGAATTATCTAAATTCGGATTAATCCCGTAGTGTAGACATACCCTTACACATTCATAGATAAACACAATCCTCACATAGAGCAAAGGAGACATTTAGTTGATCCTCCCTTTGCGGTAGAGCCCCTCAATTTCTTCTACGTGTGCCCAACAGAGGGTGACCAGATATCAAGTGTGAAAAATCGGGATTGGGGTGTGGGGTAATAGGAGCCAATATTTAAAAAAGCCCCACCTCTCTGGGCTGTCCCTATAAAATCGGGACATCTGGTCCCCCTAACACCCGGGCTCTCGGTTTATGACTGAGGCGCCTCAGAGCTCCTGCTGTATAAATAATATAGGCCACGGGCATTTCATTTGAACTCTCCCTCCCGCTCCCTGCATGGTGTGCACTGAGTCCTGCTCTGTGCGGCCTCCTCTCTTCCCGCCTCGGGCAGCGGCGGCGCTGAGGGCGAAGAAACTCAGTGCATGGCAGGCGGGGGGGGGGATGCTGCTGAGTGTGGACTAGGCGGGGGAGAGGCTGGGCTTGGAGAAGGGGAGGGAGGAGAGACGGGCGAGGGAGGGGCGGGGAAGGATTCATCCTCCTCGGGCAGGAGGTGGGCTGGGCTCCCGTCCCCGTGCCGGCGGGGGGAAGGCGGCTCGGCCGGGCGCAGGGCGGCGGTGCCGCGGGGGAGCGAGCCCGGGGCCATGGAGCGCTGGAAGGGCCGAGTGGCGCTGGTGACCGGCGCCTCGGTGGGCATCGGGGCGGCCGTGGCCCGGGCGCTGGTGCAGCACGGCATGAAGGTGGTGGGCTGCGCCCGGAGCGTGGACAAGATAGAGGTGAGGGGGGAGGAGAAATGGGAAGGGGGTCTCTGTGCCCCCCCCCCGGGTTTTGGGGTGGGGGGCCCACATCCCCGTCTCCACTGGGGCGCAGCCTCTCCGCCCGCCCCTTTATTGTTAGCGCTCCCGGTGCGGGCTGCGCACAATGCCGGGTCCCCCCCCTCACGTGGGGGAGCCGAGGTGCCTGGGGAGGGGGCAGGTTGACGGGTCTCTCTCAGCAGCTGTGAAGGGGGGAAAACCCCTTCCAAAGGGCGGCCCGGAGACCCCCCCGCCCGCGGGGGGAAAAGGGGATGAAAGATCTGGGGACTCAGTGCAAACATCCCCTGTCCCCACCAGTGCATTGGGGGGGGGGCAGGGAAGAGGTTGGGAAATGGGGGAGGCCCTCAGTTAAACTCTTATTCCCCCCATCTGAAATTTGCCAGAGCTCTTCCCTTCCCACCTCTCAGGTCACTGGTTAAAGTTGCAGATCCCCTGTGTTGGTTGATAGTTTCCCCAAGCCTTACGCTCTCTATTGAGCTGTCAGATTAAAATTCAAAGCCAAGATTTTTTTCCAGAGTGACTGGTGATTCTGGTTGGCTCCATTTTGGGGGGCCTCATTTGAGGTGCCTTTAAAGGGACCTGATTTTCAGAAGGTGGGTTCTTAGCACTTTTTGAGCTTCAGGTCCTTTGAAGGTATCTCTCAGGCTGGGCACCCGAAACCACTAGCCATTTTTGAAAATCATGGCCCATATTTTTTGGAAAGTATCTCCTGTGTGTATTAGAAATAATGTTTTTAGCTTAAATTTTAAAACTGGACTGAGTTCTCATAATTTTTGCTGTTTGTTTACTTTCCACACTTTTGACTTTGGAAAATAGTCCTGTCAATTTCACTTCTGTTTATGAGCCCAGTTTGTAGTCCCTTTTACTCTCCTGTTCTAGCACAATGCTGCAGTGTATGGGCTGCAGACATTTCAGGGAAATGGGTATTAAAACAATTACAAAAACTGTTGCCATTGGAATTAAATTGCAAAAATTCCTGGAAATATTTCTGTTGCGGCTAGGGTTTCTAAAGATGGGTTTTTACAAAACCTAAATTTAGGACCAAGTTTGACCTGAGTGTCCCTCTAGTTAAATAATACTAATAAAACACTTTGACCTCAGTAGATGAAAATATGTATAGAAGTGAAAAGTATTACATTATGCAGCTGACTGTATATTAAAATGGAGCAGCAAGGAGGGTTGGATAGTAAAGGGTGTGTTGGTTGAGGAGGACCATGGGGAAAAAAGGTCAGATAGTGTTTTGAGGGCGATTGTGGAGGGTAGTTGGGTAAGGGGGCATTTTGCTTTACAAGGACTTACCTCCATTGCAGAATTGTATAGTGTTTGAAAATGATTGTGAACAAATGAGTTAGCTGACACGATTCTGACCACATCTAAGTGGACAAATTATATTCAGAATCATCATCTGGTCAGCTAAGTGTGATTCATGATCAGTCAGCTGATATGAAGCTAAAAACCATTTGTCCTGGTCTAGACAGACCACTCAGATGTGGTCAGAAGCATCATGTCAACTAATTCAACTGTTAAAAATTATGTTCCAACACAATACAATTTTGCAATGTAGAAACTCCATAAGGGATAATAGAGGGATGGTGGTGAGATTAGAGAGGGAGTTTGGTGAATAATGGTGAACATATCTTGTAACAAGATGTCCTTAACAACTAAGTGACCTCATGACTATATTTCTGTAAAAACCTCATGTGCTTATCCTCCTCTTTCCCTCATCTATTATGGCTTTCACTTGTTGCATCATGGCTACCAATATAATCTAAACTCTTTGGGGCAGGAATTGCACCTTGCTCTGTTAGAAAGGTTTCTGGTACATTTTGGGTGTTACCCACGTTAAAATAATAAATACCATAGTATAAATACTTATGAGTGTGTAGCTGAAGAATGGTTTAATATTCTGCATAACTGTTCACACCAATTTGAAACCTAGTGTTTATGAATGTGTATTATTTCCGGAAAGGGCTGTGAATGAAGTTCACTAAAGATATGCAAGTCACCTGTGATTGTAAGGGTGAAATACATTCATGTATACGCTATTTTTTTTTTATTATAAGACTACACGTTGTCTCACATCTTGTGGCTGCTGTTATAATGGTCAAAGGCACATTTAATTGACTCACCTAGCAATAAATGTTAAATATAGTCTCTCCTTTGCCGGCTTGATTACACTTTGTACAGTAATTCAGTTTTATTATAGATCTTTTAGGCCGCAACTCATCAAAACCGTTAAACACATGTTTAACTTTAAGTTCATTTTTGAATTCACTGTGTCTTACGTATATGCTTAAATGCTTGCATGAACTGGGGCTTCAGTGCGTAAGTTGGGAAGACAGTTGTGGAGTAGAGTTATACCACTAGCCAACTATAGTTATACAATATTATTCTCAAAAATCACTGGCTAGAAGTTACTTATCATTATATTTTTATTAGGTTACATCTTAAAAACACACACGTGTTTGTATGTGTGTATTCATTCTATTTTGATAGTTAAATTTGTTGCCTAGCGGTTTAAGTTTTAATCCTTTGAGGGGAAGTAGCTTGTTAATTTAGTTGGGAAGTAAAATTTAGGTTTTGCTAGAGAGTAAAGCATGTTTTTTTTTTCTTTTTTATTATGGAAAGATTCCCAAAAGCTTGATTTATCCTTTGTCCAGACAGATCTTTCTGTGCAATATTGGCTCTACAGAGCTAGTTAAAAGCTAAGCAGTAGCATGGTTTATGTAAATATTGACAGCTTCTAATGATCTCCAGCAATGTATTTGGAAATTTGAGGTACTAAAAATGCTGGCTTTATTGTTATGCCGCTACAGAGAGAGGGGAAAAAAATACTTCCCAACAAGCCTGAATTGGGAGACTAGAGCCCCGGGGATAGGGTGGCAAGACTCTGAAGACAGAAATACACGTATATAAAATATGGTGAAGCTTTGAGAGAGTGGCTGTGGTAATAGAGAAGAATATCCAAGACCTCTAGGGAACGTTTCTTGGCTTTATTACCAAGAGGGCGGCTGCAGATACATGTTTAATAGTCTCTGTTTGCCTTGCATAGTCTAGCCATGGAAATGAATTTCAACTTTTTCTTTCATCAGCTCTTCCCCTGAGATTCCTGCCCTGTTTCTAATCAGATTTTTCACAAAGCTCTTTGTTCAAAGAGAAGAATTGGAGGTTGTACCGTTAAGTTTTAAACATAACTGAACCAAAACCCGCCTTTATTTACCACGTACTGCCTGTATTTAAGATATAATTTTGTTGTTTTTTAGCTTCTGTGTTGTAGGAAAGTATTATTTTTAAATTGTCTGAAAAACAGAATTGGTTTACGTTCTGAGATGACTGGAGGTACACAGCATTTTAAGGCACTTATTGTTTATGTGTGGTTTAATAAATTTTATCTAGGCCTTGTAAATCCATCTGAACAATGGAGAAATGCTGGTCTTGCCATAATTGAGGTTAAAATAGCTTTTCATTTTAAACACAGTTTTGTCCCTACAGCAAACTTTCCCAGAACTAAACCAAATTAACTGAAATGTTATAGATGTGATTTTTTTTTTATGCCAGTGTAGGAAATTTTTTGGGCAAGCCTAAGGTATATGAAACAAGTTATTTGGGACCATGTTCATATATATTTTGGGGACACCAAAAGTCCAAAATGGTTTGGCCTAAAAACTCCAAAATTTGTTTTAATATGTTGGTGTTGGCAGGGACTGTTACCTTGGAGTAGTTTTGTGGATGGAATTGTACAGTTATTTGGAGCAGTTTTTGCATAGCTTAACAACTCTGTGGAGTTTATAAACTCTGGATGGCCATCATGTGGGGAGAGGCAGTGGGAAACCACATAGGGGAGAGAGGAGTGGGCTGGCATTCAGGGGAACAGAACAGAGAGAGCCTCATGGGTTGAGATAGAAGAGTTGCACCTAACCAGTCAGGAAGCAAAAATAATGTCATGTGACCCATCTAGCCAATCAAAATTAACTAATATACAGCATTTTGAGCTTAAAATATTACATAACCACAATAATCTTCTTCTAAGCAAGCTATGATAGTAGTATTTGCCAAATAATACGAGGTAAGAAGCTTATGCCCAAATAAATTTGTTAGTCTCTAAAGTGCCACAAGGACTCCTCGGTTTTTTTGCTGATACAGACTTACATGGCTACCACTGAAATCTGAATAATGAATGAATCTGAAAAATGCATAAGCTGGTTGTGGATGAGTTGCAAATAGAGAATAGTCATAAGGGTAGATCCTCAGCTGTAAAGATCAACATCAGTCCAGTGAAAGCAATAGAGCTAAGCTGATTTACCAACTAGAATCAGGCCTTCGATTCATTAAATAAATTGTTCCCTATGAGTTATTCATTTTGCTTTAGTTTAGTTTAAAACCAAAGCCAAGTACGCCAGTCTTGACTCCACAGGTAAACCCCGCAAAGGAGGTGAATTTGATTTGTCTGTAGTCACAGGCTACAAACTTCTTAAAATCGTCATTAGGTCCTACTTCATTTAAAAGTCCTCCATCTAATATCTCCATCTTATATGCAAAGGGTAAAATCCTGACTCCATTTAAGTGAATGGAAGTTTTGCCACTGACTTCCATGGGCCAAGATCTTGTCCAGAGTCTGAGCCAAAACCTATTGAAGTCAGTGGAAAGATTCTTATTGACTTCAGAAAGCATGGGACCAGTCCCTGTGAGCACAGGGCTGAAGGGGCAGAATTAAGGTAATTGGAGTGGCCTCAAATCAGTATCGCCAGCCCCAAGCATTCAAAACTCACAAGTCTGGCTCTAAAATCCAAAACATTTTTTGGGGGCTGCTCTTTATTTGCCTTCTGGTTTTTCAGCCATTAGTGTGTTTGTGGGTAACATTTTCAAACTTTTCTCCACAACCATGAGAACCAGTAGCTTACTTAAAAAAAAAAAAAATAAAAATGCTGAGTCTCATGTAATCACGTGACTCCAGGGGCTAG